GCGGCAGTGCGGTTACGTGAAAAAAATCTGCGTCGTTTGACGTATCATGGTACCCGTTTGATGTTTTTTACGCGGTTTAACGTTCGCCGTCATGTTAATTTCATTACCTTACAGCTGCTTCGACATTTACGCGACTTGGCTAACAAATTGATCGTTAATCCACCTTTATTGCCCCTCGGTTTACGTCCACCCCGTTTTCTGAGACTGTGATTGCGCCCAAAGGGCAAGCGACTCCTTCGACTTGCTTGAAGAAGTCGACAACTATGCGCTCGCCCTCCGCTATAATCACGAATACGCATCCCCGAGGAACGCGGAACGATCTGCGACGCGAGCACGGTATTGTTCAATGATCCTCGACTCTAAGTAACATTACTTTCCACTCGAATTGCGCGAGAGACACTCTACGGTTTATTTTATTAGTCGTCGTTAGATACACGTGTTTGTACATGTTAGAACCAGTAGGCTAAAATACTTCAATTAGATAATTTTGTTGGCCGTCTAAAAGTGTAAGAAGTATTTCAAAAATTATTGAGTTAAAAAGCAAAAATAGCTGATGTTAATAAATAAATAATAGTTGAGGTTAAAGAACTCGTGAGAATCTTAGTAGTGATCAAACATGAGGAAGTTCTCTATGCACCCCAATCTGATTTTCTTTTCGTGCAGTAGCGTGACGTCAACATATTTCCTAAATAAAGTAAGAAACATCAGTTCATAATACGAGAAGACAATAATCACAATTTACGGTTTCTACAAAATTCATGAGAAAGACACAGCTCCGAACTCCTTCAACATGAATTCACCTCCCGGTTGGTTCCATTTGTATTAATGAAAAAAATGTCACCTCGCGACGACTGTAACGAAAGTTCAGCCCGAAAGGGAGCCACCGATCATCCGCATTTGCGTTTCAAACGAACCCCCGAAGTCAGCTGCGGCGCGTCCCACGGAAACACGTCGGAACGGCGCAACTTTTGATTCACTGGCTTCCAATAACATTACTCCCTCAATAGCGGATCGCGCAGAAGGCACCGTTATCTAATTCCGCTCGTTCCTCTTGATTCCGAGCATTGTTTGATTTGGCGACCCGTATAGCATTAATGTTCTGCTGCAAACTTGTACACGCTCGTGGTCATTGGCTCGGTGCAGATTTGTGCATCCGTTTCCTCGAGTGCCTCGAAGCGCGTCATCAAACTGGCGCATTCGGTGCAATTGCATTTCTCTGTACCGATTCTATTGAGAGCGAAACGTGTGTTGCGATCACGTACTGAAAGATAAAATTAGGAAGTTTAGACCTTGATTGAAATTTGTTGATATTTATATTTGGGTACAAATTAACAGACTTAACAGTTTACACTTAACAGTTACTTCCTAAGCATTGAGAGAGGGATAGACTTATCCTGTCAGAAATCTAGCGATTGGTTGAAATAAAGATTATTTAATTTCGTAAACTGCTTTCGTAACGCGACAAATAATTATGGGGCAATTCAATATTAGTTTCATAAACGCGCCCCGGAGGATTCGCTAGAGTATGGGTCTTAGAATTTCCGTAGAGTTAGGATTTACTGCTCTTGTGCGGAACAGGGGATGTATATATCACTTCCGTAGAACACGAGCTCACGATTTCAGTAGAATACGAATCCCTGATTTTTTGCAGAAGGCGGACCTAGGGTGTTCCGTTGAATCCAAATGTATAGCACCCCTAGACGGGTATCTAGAATTTATGATGAGCAGAGATGTACGATTATCGCGGCACCCCGGTCCATACTTTCAGCGAAAGAGGTTGAAGATTATTATAAAACGCCCACCGATAATTCCTATGAAAGTCAAATCTGCGACTTTCTGTAAAGGGATATGCGATTTCGATACACTCGATAGCTACTGTTATAGCGGATTCACAATTTCTACGGCACTCGAACCCGAGGATAGAAAATGAATCTTCGAAGGTTTCCCTCTGAAATCTGAATGTATGGATTCTCTGCAGAATGGAAATCTACGCCTCCTGTAAAGTGGAACACAGATCCCGAAAGAGGGCGATTCATACCTTCAATAGAGCACAGATTCAATATCGCACTACACAGGGTACATTCATCACGACGATCTTGAATATTTACGCTCTTTTTGGGGCAGAAGAAGTGTCTCGAGATGTCATCTGTTTCCTAGAATTCATTCTTGAAGGCTTCGTCTTTTAAAATGTGGCTGACGAAAACAGAAATTAATTTGAAATAATTATAAATAATTATTAGACAAGTCAAATTCAACACAGATTAATAATTTGCTTGGAAAAGGATCACTATCGAACATTGTCATGTTTTGGACCAGAAGGTGAGAGTTAATTGGTTGTACTCGAAGCACTCATCAAAGCCACTGACAAAGTTTACCGCTCAACCTTTAGATGAGAAAATGTTCGACTATAAAAGGTTAATACATGCAGTTACCCAGATACAGGGTTGAATTGCCCAATTTACAGGCACTGGAGGACCCATCACTGTGGCAACTCGAATCAGGTATAGCCAAACCTTGCCGTGATTCGCCTCAGAGATTAATCAAAGCGTGGAAACGACGAAAAGACGGGGAACGTTCAAGATGAAAGATAGTTCGCCCGCTTCGTAAACATATCCGGTGAGAGATAACGAGGGCATCTCTCGCGACTTAAGCATCAACCGTAAACGAAGCCGAGGGTTGCTGCGGGCGGTGTCGTTTTAGCGTCATCGGCGAGTGAAACCCGGCCACCGTTGTACGACTTGAAAATTAACTATAACACCGGCAAGGAGATGCATGCTTTGTCACGAGTGCTCGTTACCTTCTCCGTGAATACTTTCGCTCGAACGACGCGCAAACGCTTCGTCGTCGTAAAAGAAACTCGAGTAAGCGTGTGAAACTGAAAAGAAAATTGTGAGATCTATACTGCTTGAAGATAAACGAACATTGATTCCTTGATTTACATTTTTTTCAATGCTTCAAGGTATGAGAACAGTGCTGGAAAGAAATTGATAATGTTGTAAAACTGAACTTTCTGTATGTTCCAACATCAAAGGATAAAGTTCAGAAAGCGATCGTCTACATTAAAGGTAATAATTTACAAATAAAGAAAATGGAAAGCAAGCATTTTTCGATTCGCTTTCTAATACATGCTTGTAATTCCCAGCTCATTTGGTGCGACTGAAAGGTGTCGAGAGAGAGACTGAAAGAGAGCTATAAAGTCAAACATTTGAGAAATGGGAATTTTTAAGTTACGAATGCTAAACTTCAAGTTCTTTTTTATTTCTTTTTCAACAGCTGGGAAAAAGGAAATCTCGGTGATGTTTTAAACGTAACTGCACACAACAGATTCTTATCGCCCTAGCCTTCGAAGCAATCGAATCGAGCAGGCGTCAATAGCGTTCGCAGTTATGATCGAGCGTGAACAAAACAGCTTCTTTATGGGACGGGCATTCTCGAGTTATCGGCGAGCATCATCTAGATCCGTGGTCTGACCGATCGTGGCGGAAATTGGAAAACATTGCTTATCGGAGGGATCTTTCGACGATTTTACGAGCTCCCATCGCAGGTCATCCAGCGCGAATCGCCCCGATAGCGTTGACAGCGTCGATGAACCCCCAAATGTCCATTCATACTTGGAATTTCACTTGAACAGTGGATCGTAAGTTATACAATTTAATTCGATTCACCGATTCCCGAAAATGGAATTCGGGAAATACAAGTGTGCTATCGTATGTGGCGGTGCCTATTCATGCTATATTTTACAAGTAACTGATTAATTACTCATTATCCAATTTCCAGTTACCAAAAGGTATACTGAAAATGATACAATAGACTTGTGATGACAAAATCGTCGTATTGGAAGTCTCTTGCATAATCTTCCAAATATTTGGAAAGTATTAGTAAAATTCCACCATTAGTCCAAGTTTTTAAAGGTTCTTCATAAAATTCTGTGGAATTACATTGACTAAATCTAAAGATTTTATGCTTTTATGCTGGGGTTTGTTTACCTCTGGGTGCGCGCGCGTGCTCCCGCACGTGATACATGCGCTCGCGCGCTAGACAGCACAAAACTAACACAAACAGTTAGGTTAAAATAAGCAAGACAGTTACTAGAACGGAACGAGGTAAATAAAAAGAGCAAAGAAGGTACAGAAAGTGTCGACGAATAAAAGACTCGTTCGTTCATACTTGGAATTTCACGTGAACGAGCCGCAATTTATCTATGCAATTTAATGCGATTCGGACGGAAATGGCCTTCGCGAAATTAGTGGACCCCTGATCGGTGATTTTCGTCGAGGGGCGTGGGCGACCATGAATAACTGCTTTGACACGACCGGTTCGGGTAATTTGTTTGGTCAATTAAAATGTAAAACAGCCATCCGCGGAAACTGAGCGCAGAAAGCATTCTCGCGCGAGAATAAACGCGGTGTAGCTTTCGTTTTAATTCGCTTTAATCGAGGAACACGCGGAACGAGATTTTCCTGTGATTTTAATCTTGCGGGGTTCCTCGACCCATCTCTTCGCGACGCCGCGCCGTGGCAAAACGTTTATACTTCCACGCTACGTTCCATTTAAATGTATATATACAATTATTTGTAACGGGACAATGTGACAGTGAAATTGAATTCGCTTCCTTTGCTGCATTTAATTGTTTCATCATTTTACACCTATTGTTTTTGATCGAGTGTGACCACTTTTTATTGCAATTTGCGTACTGAGATGTATACATATATATATTTTCCGTTTGTTTGTAGATTTTCTTGTCTTAATAACCCAGCTAACCTTCTGATTGTAATTATGGTACACACAGTACAATGTGCAGGCTCATCAGACAATTTTTTTGTTTCGTATATTGAATATTCTATAGAATTAAAAACTTTTCGACACGCTCCACGCTTGTTTATGTAACGTAAATTTCATTCATCTTAGATACCACCTACGCATTTATAATTAATACTGTTTCCTTATTCTGTTCTACTGTTTATATTGTGTGTTGGTAATAGAATTGTTTAATTCCACAGGTATTCAATGGAATTCACACCCGGCGATTGTAGCTGTATATGAAGCTGTTTCGGTACGTTGAATAACCACTCCCTATTTATTCGTGAAGTACGTGCATCATTGTCTGTACTTGAAGATAAATGTATCTTCGAGACCCAATTTCATTACATTATCGTGCAAATTCTCTTGTAACATGTTCAACTAAACATTTTGGTCCATGATGCATCCGTTGTATCCTAAGTGCACTATACCAGCGGCACTCGTGTAATAATCTTATGCTAGCTTCCATCATGCGTTACATCTTCATTTCACACAAAATATTTACATCACTACAGAATTCTTAACTAACGAAACATACCGAAAACAGTTCCGAATAAAAATTACATTTGCGTGCCAGTGAATTAATGCAACAAAATATTCCAAAATTTAATTTTTCTTAAATATTTCTTGTTAATGGCACCATCCAATGCTATCGATGAGATTCTAACTTCTGAGATAAAATTGTCGTCCTATGGAAACGTTTTAATCTAATTTTAATTGAATCGCCATCCGCCTAACCGGACGCCGCACCTTGCCTGCCGATTGAGGCCGTACAACAAGTTGTACGTAGAATTTTCGTCGTCTCCTTTGCCATTTGTTCCCCTCATTTTTTTGTTTAGTAGGCGTACGCCGTTTCGCATGCACTTTCGCCGACTATTTTTCTGAAACGTCAACTGCTGCGCACTGAATTCGCTACAAAGCGGCAAGCAGTACCGACGGGACAAAGCAGGGAAAACTGGAAGAAAGAGACTCCAACGGCCGCTCTGGAGATTATTCAGGCCGCTGCTGACTAAACGAGGACAAAGTAAAATCCACCTTCTACGGAACGGTAATTCGAAAGAATGTCGTTTAATATTCCCTATCAAAACGGAATTACGAGGAGCATTGAGACCCAAGTACGAGGAAACGCGACTCCAGGAACGGAAATCAGTATTCCTTTTGTGCGAGGAGAGAATCCTGTGATGCAAAATATCTGTATATTTAGCACTCGCTGAATATAGATTAGAATTCATTTTATATACCATTTTTAATATCGCTTTGAAGTTAGCTAAACAAGAAAGCAATATTTTCAAAACGTTTCGAATGGAAGAAGTTGTGGTTGAAAGAAATACTGGAAAAAATTGCCACACCCTGGGCACTATCATTATTCAATTTTGTTAAAAGAATATTAACGTCACCTGGCCAATAAAAGTCCGTCTATCAGGCCAATTATGGATGATCCGCGGCGTCTTGGGTATATTATGAAATGAAGTCAAAAAGTTCTCACCTCTTTTATCTCGCGCAGTGGCAGCTACTTCTGGAAGAAAGAAGCTTCAGTTGACCCGGAAGAAAAAAGGAGCAACGCGAAACTATTTTTTTCTTCCTGATTTCCTTCTCGACTGTCTCATTTCATTTCTCACCTTGCGCATCTCATTCTCGATCTCCGAACGGAGCACGTTCCAGAAGCTTCGCCAGGCCGTATGGTCGCATAGTTAAACGAACATCGGAAGAAGGTGGCGAGGGAGATTGGGAAGGAAGAAAGTTGGCCAACTTTCGGCCGACGAGTCTAATCGTCGAAGTCCTCCTCGGTTTACCCGGGCCGAGGCTGATTTATGACGCAAGAACGAACGGCACCCGGTTTTCCTCCACGCTGATCGATAGGTCGGAACAAATTATCGACGTCGATCCCCAACAAATTTGGCTGACTCTTGGATTCGTCGCAGGATTCTGGATAAAGCTTATTGAACGGTTGATGAAGTATTCATGCATTTTTATGTAGAACATGTGGAATCTTTCTTCGGTAATCGATTCTTCGCGACAAAATGGATCGAAAATACCTGTTCTGTGTTGAAATCCGACGCTTTCTTATTAAGATACAAGCAGTTGAAGCTTCATCCGTGGACGCACGAACGCGTGCATGTGCAGTCAGCTGACTGAGATATGAATGACGCGCGCCAGAAGTAATAAAGTTCAAGATTGCAAAATGGTAAAGAATCTTTTATACTTATCTTAGCGCGAAGAATTGATCCTCGGTTCCACAATTGTTTACTTAATCTCATGTTCAATAGGCAACCAAGATCAATTCATTTGACCCAGTCTTGGCGTTTCAACGTTATATAAATGTCATACTTTTCAATCTGACTCTACATTTTTAAACTTCATCTATCATAAACTAATTGCTGCGTAATCTTCCGAATGGAAGAGGATCTAAAAATAATTCCTTCTGGCGGAACGATGTACGACGATAAGAGTATGTTCGGTTTCCATTTCGGGACGATTCGGCGCGCAATCTGCGGCTCCGGAAGATTTTCCTCTCGAACGACTCGCGACTTGAATTTTCGTGATGAATGTCGCAGCGAGGTCTTTTCACGGGAGCCTACGGCGCAGCCCCGGTCTATTCAGATCCATTCGACTCATGTTTTGGAAAATGGCGGCACGATGTCGCCCTCCCCGCGCACTACTAGAAACGAGTAATTAATGAAGTTCGGTTCGTCTGTGTTGCTGGTTTATTTTAAAGTTGCTCGGGCGTTTCATGCTCGGGCTGCCGCGGAAGTGGTTCAAACTGCGGATTTCAATCTCCCCGAACGCGAATTCTGATTTTCAACGGGAATCGTTTCACGAGGAGGACGACCAAGCATGGTCTCTCAATTTACGTAACTTGTCGGTGGTTCTGCGAGTTACGGATATGAAGAGCCGCGAACTACTCTTCAATCGGCTCATCACATTCCGCGCGGTTCCAATCACCCGGGAGTCCTCTGGGTAGATCGCGATGAAAAATTTCATTTAACACAATTCAACGAGGAATGTTGCCTTGGTATAGGAACGACAACAATTTCGACCGTTTGGGAACCATTACGGTGTGTGGTGCAGAAAAATTAATTGTTGAGATTTGTTCCTCCTATAGATTTTTATATATATTTATAAAAAGACGATACGTAAATTTTTCATCTATTTAAGTCACATTCTATCTACTGATGTCAACACTAAACCTACTAACATTCATTTGTAACTACTTCTGCCGTGATGGGACAAATGACTGGTCCCAAAGATGCTTTATTCAATTAAATGGAAAAATACTTTACGTGGAGCTAACTTGAATAATGCATGAATCAATCGTATACAGTGTATAATTCATACACAGCATATAAGAACTGTATACAAAGATTAAAAAAATGGTGATTTGACCGGTCGTGGTAGGTTTAGTGTTAAATTTAAATGAAGGAATAATATAGAAGGCCTAAACATTTCCGTGAACACAAGTTTGTTTTATACACTATTAAATTCAATGGAATCACTAGCTTTTCTCAACGATTAACTTTAAAATTTTCAAATATATCCAAACCCTCATCTCAGGAAAAAAGTGTATTTCAGTGACGATTGAAAGCGCATTTGTCCCGACGTCGTTCCGTGTTTCTTCGATGATTCTGCCAATCCTATTGTGACCCAGTTCCATTGCACGGTCAGTGATCCACGAGACGAGCGAAAGATGTCTGGCGAGCCGTGGAACAGCGTGACGGTGGATCCCATCGAAACAGCCATGACATTTTACAAAAGCAATCGTTAATTCGTATTCAAAACAGATCACTGGTATCGTAGCCGCTTCGTGCTTCCATGATGATCCGGCTAATCTTGCTGACCCGACTGAGGTATCCGCTTATACACCGCACAGTTCGAAGAGAGGGCGAGGGAGAGAGACGTATATATAGGTGAGAGAGAAAAAGAGAGAGAGAGAGAGTGTGTGAATGCCAGGGGTGAAAGAGGGAGAAAGGATGAGATAGGATGGTACACTCCTCGTTTCCCATATTATCTCCGCGCCAGTTTGGTCTACGTTGGACACGATCCCGTAACTCATATCACCATGTGTCACCGGCTTAATCTAATTCACGATCGTTGCCCGTCGTAACTCACATGAGAATAATTGCTCGATCGATATTTCGCTCGCGATGCCGTGCATCATGCTGCCGTCTCGACGTTCGCGTTCAACCTCGTCGTTATCTTTCGTTGACTGGACCCGTGGAAGAGTTCGATTTGTCAGCGATACAGGTGAGACTTGTCAGGTGGATCGTACCTTGTTTCGAGTGGAGACGGAGATCAGCCATTTCGGTCCAATCTCGGTGATTATGGTCTCATAGTTGCGATGCTGATTCCGTTCGGTGACTATCTTTAGTCGATAGCTCGCTTCGTCTCTAACGCAAGTAGAAACAGCGCGTAATGGTCAGACGCGCTGGATACATCATGAGTTTTCAGAATCGATTATTCTTGGCACAGGTGCCTCCCATAAAAAAATGTTATTCTTCACTTTCGATGTACTTTTACCTAAAGACTCACCCTCTTTTCCACCACCCTCTCCCACCCCGATTTCTTCTGTATCCCTTCTTTAAGCGACTTCATCGAAGCTGTATTTATCGCGTTCATCGTCACCGAGACTGGTGACTTCGATATACTGAAAATGTATGCTGGAACAATCACTATATTTTATTGAAATATTAACGAATATACCCCGTCGCGATCGTTGGATGTTCCGATAACGGCGATGGAATCTGCGTGAACGCAGGAGTCAACGTATTATTCCCAGTAGTAAGCGAACATTACAGAATGGCATCCTAATATTTACGATGCGTTACAGGCTACGCGTACGCGCAATTTCGATAGCGTTCATTAAACCGATCGAACCACGAACACGTTGTATTTCATATTAATGAAAACGATGCGGGTTTGTGAAATAAAACCGATAAGGAGTCCTAACGAATTACTCCCAGCGGTAGACATTTATATCTCGCGTAGGTCGTTGTCCGTGAAACCGATCGGCGTCGTTGAATCGGGTCAAGACTCTATCAACGTGAACAAAATTGCTGTGGGAGAACCAACACTTTTTATAATTCATAAAAATAGTTTTTGACTGTATGAGATTCAATCCCTTGACCTACACGCTATCTCCCGATTGTTCGGGCCATAATAAACAGGAAGCTAGGAATTCCGAACGAAGTGTCACGAGTCTCACTCGTGGTTGTAGGCCAAAGGGGTTAATTTGACATTAGAGCAAACATCCTTTCT